CTTTAACCCCTTATGCCACCAGGGAGGCCCCCAGATTTGTCTTTAGACAGCACAGATTGCTATGTGGGGATGGCAGCAGGAAGAGGTACTAGAGACAAGAAGACAAACTAAGAAGCCACTGAGAAGCTCCCCTGAGATTCCTCAGGAAGAGAGAGTAGGCATCCTGTCCGAGGCGCTGCGGCCTAGAGAAGAGAAAGCACATGTGGACTCTTCTCAGAATATACAGGAGGCAGGAGGCAGTGGTGATTGACTTTGGGAGGAAACAGGAGCAGGGACAGGTCTTTCCCCAGGTTCTAGCTCACATGAGTTCATCGGCTGAAGCCCAGAGTAAGAGGGATCAGCGGGTTCAGGAGGACGGCACCACCTCCCTTTGGGGAACTTTGATGTGAGGTGCTCAGGGGCCGCATATTTCCAATAAGAAGTCAGAGTGGGTCTGTGACTTGGGGAAGAAGTTCAGGCTGTCATGGCAGAAATAACTAAAATCCTAAGTGCCCTAGAGACCAACAGGTGGAGGCCCAGGAGGCAAGGTCGGAGAACAGCAGCTGAGGATGAGGCAGTGGGAAGCCCACGGGGAAGCACAGCAGGAAGAGGACTTAGCCGAGATCCGCTACTAAAGCACTAACAGAAACACTGCTGAGTGTCTAAAGGCCAGAGACACTCTGGCGCTGAGAGCTGGGAAGGCGTGTCAGGGAGGACAGGACTTGAGCAGGATGATGGATGAGACTTCAGCAGTGGAAGGGAAAGGGCCCCCCAGGGAATAAGAAATCATCAGTCTGAAGACCCACAGGCAGTTCAGAGAGCAAGATTTCTTTGAAGAAACACCTGCGCACTGCCTCTCCCTGCTCTCTCATTTCATCTCATCTCTTTCCCTCTCACTGTCCCTCCTCCCTTTGCCGTCTTCCTTTCTCCCCCTACTCCACCCTCTCCACCCCCACCCCATGGCCACCCCACCCCATGCCCACCCTATGCCACCCCAACCAACAGAGGAATCAATGGGTTAGACTAAACAAGAGAATGGCTGCTGAAGGGTTCATGATTTCCCCTCAGAGCCCGCAAGCCTGGAAGGTCAGTGTCCTTGGGGAAATGGACAAGACAGGCCAATGCCAACCCCTCCAGCTGCGCTATGCCTCCCCTTCAAGGCCCCTTCCTGTCGGCCTTGGTTTGGACAGTGTGAGCTCTTTTGCAAAAAATGAGGTCTGGAGAACACCTTGCACAACGCCAAGCACTGGCATGAGCTTGAGCTGCAGACCTGGGCGCGGTGGTGGGCAGGCTGGAGGCGGAGCTTGGGGCCCTGCGCACCGAGGTGGGGCAGCAGCGGCGGGCACGTGAGCACCTGCCGGCACACCGGTGCCAGCTGCAGAGGGCCGTGGCGTCCTACCACGCCCTGCTGGACAGGGAGGAGAGCCAGTGCGTGTCTTTTCCCCTTTAATTATGTCAGAAATATATACTCATCGGCTTCAAAATCATTTTTTCCAAACACTTTAGAAGATAAAAACAAGAAATCACCCCCTAAATTTCCCAGCACATACAGTTCCTGTGAGCACCTCTGTGCGGTGCTCATGAGTCATGGCAGAAAAACTCCATGGCACTTGCAGGAGTCATTGCTGAACCTGGAACAAAAACTGTGATGATCCAAACGTGATTCTGTGGGAAATTTTTCCAAACCACAGGTATTATGGGTCCAATGTCCATAACAACCACTCACAAACCAAGCAATTTCCTGACGAAGGGAATGTGAACAATTGAAAGTCCAGGTAGCCATTTCTATCTCCTGGCTGCCATAAAGCAGTAACCCTGTGCCAGGTTCAGTTTCTACTGATCATCTTAGGATGAGAACCCGACTCAAGCTTAGTAGCTTATGGAATTAATAAGCTCTAAATAAGATACAATAGTGAGCTCTGTTTAACAATGGCTATGATTCAAGATGGTATCTTGGTCAAGAATCTTCCATTTCAGTCACAATGATCTCCAACAGCAGTGAAAATCTCTTCATGAGAGACAGAGTCCAGAAATTTATTTCATCATGAGCTGACTCAATTCAATTTAAAAATATGTACTTGTTTCTTATGCACTTTATTAAAAGTCAGATGCTAAATTATAGGTGTACCATAATCACATCTATTAAAATATGTTAAGGACAGAGACATAATTTTTACAGGTGTTTATTGGTCAGTCTAATACTGCAGGATGTGGTATATGGGAAGAGGAGAAGGAAGTTCCAAGGGCATGTGGTGTTTGGGTCACCATGAAAACCCAGGGGCCACCCCGACAGCTTGGTGGTGATAGTGCAAGAGAATGTCAAGGAGGCCTCCCTAGTGGTGCAGGGGGTTAAAGCGCAGCACTATGAAGCTATTGGCAGCCACTGCAGCACAAGTTCGATCCCTAGCCAGGGAAGTGACCCACATGATGTAGCAGACCTCTCCTGTCCCGCCCACTGCTCTCCTCAGCAGTGTATGCCAATCAATCTGCCTATTCTGTTTCCCACTCTGTCTCTGGTGAATACTCTTCCCCACCCCCACCACACACACACACACACACACACACACACCCCTCTGGCCTGTACCCTAATTATTATATGCATAAATAAATAAATCTTAAAAAAATAAATGGCAAGGGGGACTTCCTCAGGAAAGTGCCCCCGAACTTAGAAAAATAAGAGTGAGCCAGGAAGGCTGATGGAGGGAATGGAGAAGGATGGTGTGGGTGTAGAAAACATCTTGAAACTCAGTTGAGGGCAAAGACTAGAGACACCAACTGCTGTGTGTGTGGTGGAGAAAGGCAGGGGGGAGCAAGCAGGAGAAATGTGCCAGTCTTGCATATCATGGGGGTCGGTGCCTAGGGGGCTGTGGTTGGTATTGAAGCAGAGCAGATATAATACCAGATTTCTCTTTTTTTTTTTAAGATTTATTTATGCATAAAAGAGCTGGGGTGCAGGTCAGAGGTGCAGGGGGTGAGAGGATTCACCAGAGACAGAGGGGGGGGGCAAAACAGGCAGATGGACCAAAATACACTGCTGAGGGGAGCAGCGGGTGACACAGGAGAGGTCTGCCGCACCATGTGGGTCAGCTCCCTGGTTGGAGATTGAACTGGTGCTGCAGTAGCTGCTGATAGCTTCATAGTGCTGTGCTTTAACCCCTTATGCCACCAGGGAGGCCCCCAGATTTGTCTTTAGACAGCACAGATTGCTATGTGGGGATGGCAGCAGGAAGAGGTACTAGAGACAAGAAGACAAACTAAGAAGCCACTGAGAAGCTCCCCTGAGATTCCTCAGGAAGAGAGAGTAGGCATCCTGTCCGAGGCGCTGCGGCCTAGAGAAGAGAAAGCACATGTGGACTCTTCTCAGAATATACAGGAGGCAGGAGGCAGTGGTGATTGACTTTGGGAGGAAACAGGAGCAGGGACAGGTCTTTCCCCAGGTTCTAGCTCACATGAGTTCATCGGCTGAAGCCCAGAGTAAGAGGGATCAGCGGGTTCAGGAGGACGGCACCACCTCCCTTTGGGGAACTTTGATGTGAGGTGCTCAGGGGCCGCATATTTCCAATAAGAAGTCAGAGTGGGTCTGTGACTTGGGGAAGAAGTTCAGGCTGTCATGGCAGAAATAACTAAAATCCTAAGTGCCCTAGAGACCAACAGGTGGAGGCCCAGGAGGCAAGGTCGGAGAACAGCAGCTGAGGATGAGGCAGTGGGAAGCCCACGGGGAAGCACAGCAGGAAGAGGACTTAGCCGAGATCCGCTACTAAAGCACTAACAGAAACACTGCTGAGTGTCTAAAGGCCAGAGACACTCTGGCGCTGAGAGCTGGGAAGGCGTGTCAGGGAGGACAGGACTTGAGCAGGATGATGGATGAGACTTCAGCAGTGGAAGGGAAAGGGCCCCCCAGGGAATAAGAAATCATCAGTCTGAAGACCCACAGGCAGTTCAGAGAGCAAGATTTCTTTGAAGAAACACCTGCGCACTGCCTCTCCCTGCTCTCTCATTTCATCTCATCTCTTTCCCTCTCACTGTCCCTCCTCCCTTTGCCGTCTTCCTTTCTCCCCCTACTCCACCCTCTCCACCCCCACCCCATGGCCACCCCACCCCATGCCCACCCTATGCCACCCCAACCAACAGAGGAATCAATGGGTTAGACTAAACAAGAGAATGGCTGCTGAAGGGTTCATGATTTCCCCTCAGAGCCCGCAAGCCTGGAAGGTCAGTGTCCTTGGGGAAATGGACAAGACAGGCCAATGCCAACCCCTCCAGCTGCGCTATGCCTCCCCTTCAAGGCCCCTTCCTGTCGGCCTTGGTTTGGACAGTGTGAGCTCTTTTGCAAAAAATGAGGTCTGGAGAACACCTTGCACAACGCCAAGCACTGGCATGAGCTTGAGCTGCAGACCTGGGCGCGGTGGTGGGCAGGCTGGAGGCGGAGCTTGGGGCCCTGCGCACCGAGGTGGGGCAGCAGCGGCGGGCACGTGAGCACCTGCCGGCACACCGGTGCCAGCTGCAGAGGGCCGTGGCGTCCTACCACGCCCTGCTGGACAGGGAGGAGAGCCAGTGCGTGTCTTTTCCCCTTTAATTATGTCAGAAATATATACTCATCGGCTTCAAAATCATTTTTTCCAAACACTTTAGAAGATAAAAACAAGAAATCACCCCCTAAATTTCCCAGCACATACTCCTCCTCATCCACAGCTGAGGGATTTTCTATTCATATTTACATGCATGTGCATACAACCACACACAACAGTATCAGCAAGGGTGCATTAATGTAGTGTGTGCATGTGTGATTGTGCGCGTGTGCCTTCAGATGTCCCACGCACGCCCAGAGCCACATGTTGCTACTACCCAGTCTCTACACAGTATCCATTAGGAGTGCTTCCAGCTGCATGTAACACCCTAATGAATAAGGCTAGAAGCCCTCTTCCCTGAAATTGCACCCCAAACTCCCAAACCCTGGACATCTTTTTAAAATGCAGAGTCCATTTCTGGTGTGGGGCCTGGGATTCTTCTTTTGTAACAAAACTCTGGTGAAGCCTGTGCTACAGGGCACAGGCCACGCTTGGAGCAACAAGGGCATCAACTGTGTTTATTCAAGTAATGAGCTCCTCTGGGCAGCTCACTGACGTCGTTAAGCCCCCAGCGCTTTGTCTCTCTGTTATACTATGTCTGATATTCTGCCTCTTCGCCTTCATCCTTGTCTCCCATGGTTGTCAAATGTCCACTGAAGCTCCGGACATCGCAGCTTTAGATGGCAAAAAGGGAAAGGGAAGAGGGAGCAGCAAAATGCCTTTCCTTGTGTGCCTCATTTCTTTTGTGACTGAAGGAAAGTATCTTGAGAAGGCCTCCAGTGGGCATTCCCTTAGATCTCACTGGCCAGAACCTGCTGGCAAGGGGAAAGCTCCATTTCACAGGCAGAGGCTAGGCAAGTGTGTATATGTGTGTGTGCATATGTGTATATGTGGGCACACACAGGGATGGGTTGTCTTTTTTTCAGTGGACAAGAATTCCAGGATCACATCCATGGGTCTTGGGGCTTAGCTTCCTTGCCAGCTCTTTACAGAAGTCCAGTCTTTTACCTTTCTATCAAAGTTCTATACCTTCATATCTTCAAGTTCCCTTCTATAGCACACATTGAATAAGAATAGCTCTAAGAAACAACTTAGTGAATATATAATCTGACTGCTCCTAATTCCAGAGAGATCAGAAGGCACAGAGCAGGAAGAATTTGTCCTTGACCTAACAGGGAGGCAGAGGCAGGGCTGGGATGGGAGCCCAGGTCTCGTGGCTCTGTCCAGTGAACTCTGTAACACCTCTTTCTTCAGAAGGAGTCACGTGGGTGTGATCTAACCTGACTCCTTTCAAATGGAAAAATGTGTCATCCAGCTCCTTTCCAACTGCCTTTTTATTGGATTTATTCCTGTGTTGGTTATAAAAGCTAGATGCTCTTAACAAAGCTAATTTTTCCAGATGCCTAGGAACACCTGAATAAATATACAAAATCTTTTTAAACACATCCAAAAGCACCAAGTTAGGCTGAACTTACTTCCAGGACAGAATTCCGTTTACAAAAGCCTATTCTATGTCTACACAGTTGTAAGCTCTTATCTTCATTTCTCTCAAAAACTCTAGCAGGATTCCATCATTATCCCCACTTCACAGAGAGAAGCCAAAGCCTCTGTGAGCTTAATGCCTTTACCCAAGGTTGCACAGCTAATTACCATGGAGCAGATACTGAAACCCAAACTTTCTTGTTCAAAAGGCCAAATTCTTTCCAGGAAAGGCTATGTTTTTCCTATGGTCCTATTGTGATATCTTTACCAAAGGATGGCCCAGAACTCTCACTTATATTGTGTTTGTTTCAGCCAGCAGCAACTCCCTCTTTTCATGAGGAAAATGTCTTCCTCACCAGTGGCCAGCAAAACTTCCTTAACAAGTTTTGCGCTGACCTGGATTTCCTACTGAATTCTCTGGTTGATTGAGCTTGAGCTGAACAGCTTCCTGGAGGTGGAGAGAGTCCTCCCGCATTAACTTAAGTGGTCTGCGGCCCAGCCTCTTTGCTCCTCTCCAAATAAACGCTTTATGGTTGGCTTCCGGTCTGCCTGACCTTTCAACTCACTAGCAGATGGCTGTCACTTTACCTGCCTGCCTCTGCTCATGGATCCATGCCTGAAGTCTTCTGGAAGGGTCCTTGAAGATGACAAAGTACAGCTTGCCCTCAGAACGTGCAAGACTGCCACCATTTGAGGCAAAAACTCCACTCTCAATCGAGAGGAAATAGGGTGGCCGGCCCTTAGTGACACATAATCACAATCAGGGGCGCCGTAACCCCCAGACCTCCTTCATGTTTTCTGCGTGCGTGATTGTGTGCAGACACCCACGCTCTGCTGCTGCTGGCTGAGGCCTCTCCATCAGTTTAAAGGGAACTTAAGTCTGTGGGGGATTAATTAGGTTGTGGTTGCCTACTGCTCTTGCTGCCTCAGAATTTTCTTTCTGGTCCCTTCCTCAGTCCTCTTAGGGCCCAGGCTGGGCAAATATAGTTCATGCATCTGCCACCTACCCAAGCAAGACTCTCCTGCCTTCTGATTAAATCTGAAACCACCACCTGTGTCCTAGGACAGGCTCTCAGTGCCTCCAAAACCACACATGTACTGAGCAAGCAGTCCAGCCTTCATTTCTTAATTCTTCACACAAGCTTCTGTCAGTCCACCTGTCACACAGAATTACAGAGCAAAATATCCAGGTTGGGACTTTGTCCTCATATGCTGCTAATCAAGTTGGGAGGATGTGTCCACTGACACCTGGGGTTCTAAATGTCAGCATACCAAGGTAGATATAAACAAAAAGAAACCGGATTAACCCTTCAAATGGCTTGAAAAAGAAGCCAGGCAAGAAATGGGGCCTCCTGGTTGCAATTGAGCCGACTGGTTTTTCTTTTTGGCTTCTGGGATCAAAGAGATTGTATTAATAAATCATGTGAGCAGAATAGCTCTTTACAGCTTGCACAACACCTCTACATAATTCCCTTTTATTAAGGCCCATAAACAGAAAGGACACCACCTAACGCTGCATCTCCATTAAGCATCCATCTCCTCCTTAGCTGCACGCTTTAGGGCTGCCCATAATTGAAGCACTGGTTACAAGGGCCCCCCAGAAAGCAGTGTGCAGCTGGCCCAGCTGTGCGGGAGGCACAGCACATGAGGTCTCTTTCTTGTTATTAATTTGCACGGTACCTGAGATCTGTTTCTTTTTTCTTTCTTGTTATTAATTTTTTTTTCTTTTTACGGTTTACCCTCCTCCACCCATTCCCCCACCCCCTGCCCAGCCAAGATACAAATCCCTAACCTAAACACAGCTGGAGGGTCCCAAAAGGTCAGTCATCAAAAGGAAGTACTTCTGTGTCTGAATAGCCACACGTTTTCCTGAACCTCGAAACGGGCTCACTCATTGGAAGGAGGGAGAAAGGATTTCTAGCAGGCAGCAAGCACGCTGTGCCGTCTGTGCACACGGAGTCTCTGTTCCCTAATCTCTGAGAGCAGCTGCCGTAAGTCATTAAGTTAATCAGCCCTTGGCAGGGAGAACCAGGGCGGACTGGTGGTTCGCGTGCTCTGCGCAGTTTCTTGCTGTTTCTAATGAGGCTTCATTATCAGGTAAGAAAAGGCTCTGCTGGGCCCCCTGACTCCACCAGGGCCTTATTTAACTCCAGCTTCCTCTCACATCATCCAGTACAATTACTCTCTGGCAGCCGTTCACTGACAGGTGGCAGGGGCTTGTATTGGTCTCAAGGACAGAACGTTTGTTCTGGAGCCGACCAGAGGGCTTTCCAGGCACTTCTAAAGCCCAGGCAGAGCCCATTTCCAAACCAGGTAAGCTACTGGCCCCTGGCCTCGCTCTGGAGCACAGCAAACTCCCAGTGAGAGTACCAGACACTTGTTGGCGTTCAGGCCCAACGTCTTTTACACCAAGCTCTTTAAATCCTACCAGCATGATCGTCTGTAACTCAGAGCATCTCCTGGTGCTGATGTTGTTGGGCGTTGGGGGACCCATGAAGAGAAGGCATGGTGTTTGCCCTGGCGGGTGTTGCAGTCTCTTCAGGAAGTTTAGATGTGCACGGAGAAAGAGAAGCCAAGCAGGCAGCACACTACAGTTTGCACGACCCCTTCATATGTATCATTTTCTTGTTGAAATCATGAAAAATAGACATGCAGATCTAATCTCTGTTAATTTTCAATAAGATGATTCAGCAAGAAGCACCCCGCTGCTCTCTGATTATCTCTAAATGCCCCCGCTGACATTCTTTCAAGCCTTAACATCTCTTTGGTTTTGAGAAATAGCAAAAAAGGATAAGATGGTGCCTTTTGGGGGGAAATTCTAGCATCTTCTCTAGCATTGCTAGATTTAGCAGATAAAAAAAAAAAACACAGGATGACCAGAATTTGGACACTGAGAATTGGGCATTTTCTGAAATTTGGATTTCAGAAAAGCAATGAAAAAAAGAGGCTTTTCTCTCATCTTCAAGAAATTGTTCTGTTAGCAGAATAGGGAAATAAAGCAAACCATTTTCTCAGCTGAAGCAACCAGTTTAATTGAACGATAGACTGGTTATTTTGAGTAAAAGCTTCAGCAGGATCCAGAGTAGATCCCAATAGTCTGCTGTGCTACAGACTCAGCCAGAAGAAAAGTTTCTTGTCATGAGCAGGAAGAAGTCCTCCATTTTCTCGTGCTCCCCTTGAGAATGAAGTGTAATTCACACCATGGGGTCAAGCTTTCAGTGTGATTCTGGAATAGAGATTGCCTTTTAGAGGGAACTTGGAAAGTGGAAGAGCAAGAAATCTTTAGGCAAGTCATAGGTACTGGAAAATTTTCCAATGACTAAACTGAGGGCCAAAACTTGTTTTTCTACTATGTTCATGTCTATGTTGACAAAACGGTTTTATTTTTTTAGAAGTATTCATTTGACTTGAAACAAAAATATGTCGTTTTTTAATTTTTTTCTTACATCATTGTTTATTTTTTATTTCTCCCATCATATGTAGTCCCCATAATCCTCCCACTACCACGCCACCTGTGACCATCCCC